TCCATCTGAACCTGAGGAAAAACTTCTTCCCTGTGAGAGTGACAGAGCATTGGAACAGGTTGCCCAGAGAGGTAGTGGAGTCTCCTTCGCTGGAGATATTCAAAAGCCGTCTGGATGTGATCCTGGGCAATATGCTCTAGAGGACCCTGCTTGAGCAGGGAGGTTGGACTAGATGATCTCCAGAGGTCCCATACAACCTAAACGATTCTGTGATTCTGTGATTCTGTGATTCTGTGACACAGTGCACAAAGGGTGGGAAAATAGGATCTTACAGTAGCCAAATGGTAGACACCATTTGTCTAAAGAGAGCTTAGCAAAGGCCCTGAGATGATAAAAAAGATGTCAGTCAGTACAAATCATGTTCAAATTGTAATCACTCTAATAAAAATTTTAGTAGGAGACAGCAACACATCCTTATGTATGAAGATGTGAATCAGATTCTTTATTTTTAACAGAAAATAGCTGTGGATTTGATCAGGCTGGTGCTACATTGTCTCTAATAACTTGCAAGGTCAGGTTTTCAAGGTTTAAAATGTTTGGCATCTTATTAGGATAAATAGGGATCAGTAGGTTACTTTGAATATGTTGGAGGCATTAAAAACTATTATGACTACAACCATAGATGATTAACTGTAAATATACAGAATCTTTAAAGCTGATATCTGGAAGTAAAGCAAAAAAATCCCTGCAGAAATAATAAAACTTCTCTGATCTTATGACTATAAGACAATTTGACTAGCATCCGGGGAGGCTGCACAGTCATATCAGGCAGAGTAGAAATATTTCTGTAAGCTCCTTAAGCCCAGTGAATCATAAAGGAAATATGGAGATTGATAATGATAATTACAAATGAAAAGATAAAAGACATTTTCAGAACATGGTAAGTGAGAAACCCTGCCAAATACAGATCTGATCTTCAAGCCCTGGCAATATCCTATAGAATTTATTGACTTTAAAGAGTTCCTGACAACCCTCATTTCATTCACTTGGTCTGTAGTGAGCTATTCACAACTGCTCTAACTTTGCCAGGAGGCAGCTGAGGCATTTGGATTCCTCACCCAAGGTTTTTGGCTCTGCAGTCTTGTCCTTACCTAGAATCTTGTTAACATCCTGACAGAGCACTGGGGCAGATAGTGCTTGCAGTCAATGGGCTGGACACTGGCTGGTTTAACTGTTGCTGTTCAAGATAAATCTAAAATTTACAGTATTTAAAAACACCACCAACTATGGGAGTTTCATGCCCATAATGAGGCATATGTTAGGCAGGAGCAGGCAGAGAGGATTCCTGCCTATATTTTATGCAAACAAGCAGAGGGAAAAACATTGTCAAGCTTTTGGAAAAGGCCCTGGCATCTGAGATTCAAATGAAAGGAACTGAATTCTGCTCCTCATTAGAGCAGTTCAATTTCAGTGCAAATCAAGGAGATGCTGAGCTGAGCGGGTGCTGTATTTCTCAAATACCTCAGTCCAGATTTCGTTTAAACGCACACTTTATCTTTAATCCGGGGCTACTTACATGATGCACCTTGACAAGGCTGTTGAACATGCTTGAAGGATTGCAGGAAGGGCTGCCCACGGCTGACTGGGAGCTGGCCAAGCAGCCAGATAAATGAATCAGGAAAAAGAAGTCCATTATGATAGAAACTGGTCCTGCAGGACCGCTGCTCTTCCCCTTTTGCCTTTACAGCAGTCACAAGCACTCTCTTCATCTCCTTCACAGAGTGAGCAAAGGAAAATGGAGCCTGAGAGAAGCGAATGGAATAACTCCCTGCTTAGGAGCGAACTAAGATATAGTGGGCAAGGTGCCAGGAATACAGCAGTGATGAGGAAGCATGAACTTTAGCCCACTCAGGTGAACGACTTGAGTAGTTTTCTAGAACACTGCCTTGGATACTGGCCTAGACTGACAACCCTATTTTCACTGCCACTGAACTACATGCTAAGATGTGAAGCATCTTTTTACTGTGCAGATAGGGCTTTTCCTCTCGATGGATAGCAGGAAGGTAGCAGTAAATGCTGCGGGATCAGTACCAGCACTGGTATATGAGTTTAGGGATGCCTGCATTATACATTGACTGTTCTGGTGTTTTGAAGATTTACACAGGTAAAGATGACAGTGGAACTTGGCTTGAAAAAGGCAAGTGCCTTGAAATGCTAAATACTTGTTGCCTCTAAGTGCTTGCCACAATAGTGCTGTTTTGACTTCATCACAGAAGATCATTGTCCCGTAAAAGAGGCTTGATCTACCCCCACCGCACTCAACTTTTCGCTGTTGGAATTGACAGAAACACTAAGACCTTAATATTGATATTTTGAAGGTTCACCCTCTATTTGCAACAGTCACCTCTCAGATTCCCAGAACTTGCTTCTTAGACAGAGCAAAAGCTTCTCAGGTTATCTGAGAGAAAGGCTAATGTGGAGTACAGCAGGTACATCCAGTTGTAACAGTGAGGTAAAATAAGCCAGATGCAAGGCTAGCAAGCAAACAAAAAGGTAAGACTATATTTTTCATGTGAGTCTACAAGGACTTGTTTAGGAGTTTGACTCTGTGCCAGACAGCTCACCGCACCTCTAAAAAAATTGCTTTACTCTAAAAAAGTAATCTGAAAGATCCCTGGACTGCAGTCAACTTAATATCATACATATCTGCGTCTTCAAAGCATTCTCTTTGGCTCAGCATAGCAACAGAAGCATAACTATTAGCAGTTATTTCAACCTTGAGATAATTGCATGCCCCAGTACCCCACCCACTAAACAAATGAATTGACTTTGATGTCCTTTTAGTATGTTAGAGAATAGAAAAATAAAGTAAAAGGCGGTGTGAATTTAGCAGTGTGAAAGAGGTTATTCTAAAGATTAACATTTTCAAATGAATACCAGGTGTAAAACTAGTATTTGTAGTTCATTCTTTCAGCTCCTTGTCAAATAAGGCTATTTGAAATACAGCATCTCTCATGACAAAGCTGCCAAGACATTTCCCTATAAATAGGGAAATCCTTTTTATTATTGCCAGTTATTCTAAAGATATTCATTAGGATGGACTTGATCACAATGGCCATCTATCCTGCCAGGCTGACACCCAAATCTCTGTGCAGCATCTATAGAGTTGTATGAGACTCAACAATGAGTTACAACTCATTGCACACTGACATATCATGCTACAGCTTTACCTAAAGTTTCTGGGATGCAATAAAAGCTGAGAGTACTGCTCTGTATGCAAGTGTATTTATTTTTTGGCAGCACAGTTTCAGGCTTGCTACCTGTAGCTTAAAGCAAACCTCAGTTCCAATCTAAACTTCACATGCTGTGCAGAAATTGAGCAAAATTTGTTGAAATTTGTTCCCCAGCCCGATTATTTCCATCCTTCCACCAATTCTAGGGTAATTCATGGCTATATCAGGAGATGTAACCGATCTTGACAGTTAAGTCCTTTGTTGTTTTAATGGCAAGTAATGAGACTAAGGTAAATATACAGGAAAAAAAACCCTAAATTACGTATTATTCATGCAAATGTGATAGTAGATATGGACATTCTAGAGTAAAACATTAATAACAACACTACATGCTTTCAAACATAGTAATTCTTTTATTGTCTTAGTCTAAAAATTTGAATTTGTATGAACAAGTGATGCTTCCATGTGATTCAATCTCAGTCTCTTCTTTCACATAGCAATAGATGCTAGATATACTTTAAAGTCAAATAATGAAAAAATGTGTCTTGGTACCTTAGATTTTGTCTTCGTTCCCTTTGTTTAGTCCTAAGGCTATACAGATCATATATAGTGATGGAAAAAACTTACTCAAAGGGTGCATTTAAATAAAGATCAGTTTGCAAATTGTACCAATGGCTTGCACACACACACACATACGCATACACACACACACACACACATAGGCACAAACACATATGAATAATTAAAAATAGAAAGCGTAAAGGAAATTTTCAACTTGCTACATTTGAAAAAAATATTAAGATTTGAACAACATTAAGACATCTGGGTGTACAGCACATGTAAACCATCTTTGTGATGAAAGTGGAAGTGATGAATTGCGCATTCACCAATATCAGCTACAGCATAACAAAGTCAGCTCTTTCCTTTTCATCATTACAGCTGATGCTTTAGCAATAGTCTTTGATTAAAAAAATCAGAAAGCCCAGTTCATGTCTTAAGAACATTTCTGTACAAAAAATAACAGCAACAGCATGTGGATTTAAATGAGCTTAAAAAACTTAACAAAATCAGAATTGTAATACATCTATCATTGATCATCTTAATATCAAAAACATTTGGCTGGAATTTGCATGTGCTGATATTAATGGCATGATATTAAATCCTTCAAATTTAGGGTTCTGCTAGAGTTCCAGATCCTGAGATTATATATTACGTCATTTGTATACTTTTATATTCCTCAGATAACCATACTGCTCATAACCAAAGGTTGGCATTTTTAGTATTTAGGTACAGTTCCTTACCCATCTTTCATGTAAAGCTCCATGTCAGGGAAAACCTTATAAAGAAGTTCAGGGACATTCGCTATAAGCGTAACAGCAGTGTATGACAGAGAAAGAGATATTCACACTGTCTTACTGAACGTAATGCAATTGTCTAAATTAGGAGCTTTGTCAATACAGAGGGAGGTCTCAAAATTTAGCAATGCCAGACCCTCTTTTTGAGGATACTCTGACCATCTAGGGGAGCCAGACTCCTAATTTAGGTATCTAAATCAAACTGCACAACTATTTCCCATCATGTCCTCACATATCTTATCCTAAGGAGCAAGAATTCACAATACTTGCGCTGGGGATACAGGCTGTGTTGGATTTAAGGATCTCTGGCAAATCCTAGATGTGATGTCATGAATTTCTACTCCTTTTTCTATATAGGGCAGCGCTTCTCTGTACTACTAAGGCTAACAAGATAGTGATTGGTTCTGCACTGTAATTCATTTCTTCATTGATATTGCTTGTCTCTTCCTTTCCCAAAGACAGTAGAAGCTAGTGAAGGGCTGGATAAGAAGTCATGTAGGGAGAAGCATGCCACAGAGCTCAGTGGATCCTCCACTAGACTCTGACTTTCCTGGTTCTGACTCCCCTTTCCAGTGCGTGGGGTGGGACAGTGCTGATTTGAATGCCAACTCCCTGACAGCAGACCTGTATTTTTATTCCTGAAACGTTCTTTTCATTTTTTTTCCTTGTTAACAGTTCCTAATGCTTTTTAATGGTACAAAGCCACATCGCTTCCTCTTAAGTCATTTAAGGTTGTATCAAAGCACATCAGGACCTAGTTTTGTCAGATTTTTTAAAAGTATTTGTTCACAGTCAGGTAGTCAGAGCTAGCTACAGCCACAGTGCTGATGGGGACTGTGCAGCCTTTCCCAGTCATGACATGGCCTGCATGCTGCAATGGAAAATGCTAAAGGGACAGGGAGACCAAGCACAGAAATAATTGTTGGGGTGAATATGTTCAGGAGGCTTTACTCCCTATGGCCATTAGTTCATCACCCTACTGTTGAGCCTTTGCCACACTTGTTTTCCTATCACAGTTGGGAATGAGAGTGCTACCAACATTGTACCAGGGATCAGCAGACACCCTGCAGTGGGTTTTTACCCTGAGCAGATGTGGAAACATTGGTGATAAAGCTGGACTACAGCATGAAACTTGTGTTTGGAGAAGTTCTGTCCCTGCCAAGCATGAGATGCAGAGCGTCCACCACATCATGTACTCCTTCTCATGATAAATTAAAAAACAGATTATGAAGTTTTTATGTGTGCTTGCAAAGGGGATTTTTCTTCTGTTTATGGTACTAGCTTTATACTTTGGTAATTATTTTATTTAAAAAATTTTTTTACAAGGGCACCTCCATGCAGGAGAATACTTGCCTGGCTTATAGGCCAAGGCAAACACTTAAGCACATGCTAAACAGTCTTCCTGAACATGACTACTTTCCTAAACTGGGACCATAAATAAGGGTATATTAAGGTATTCAGTATATTTACATGTGACATCGAGAAAGTTATAATCAGTCTCAAGTCTAAGAAACCAATTTCTACATTAGAACATGCAAAAAATAATGTAGATATCTCTTCTGTTCCATCTAAGATAGCAGGAAGGGATGTAGTTTCACTAAAAACACTGGAGTTCAAAAGTTAGTGTCCTCAGTAAAACGCTAATAGACTTTTTCAAACTGTGCAAACCAAGTGTCAAAATAGAAAAGATCAATATTGAAAGGGAACACATCCACATAAAATAAAACACTTTAAAATGGAATGTAAGAGGTTTCTAAATACACTAAAATATTACAGTGACTCTATAAATAGAAAAAATAGATGCTGCTGAAGAGCTAAAGCAGTCCGTTCCAAATACTTCAAGTGTATATATGTCTCTCTCTTTACTATCATTAATACACAGTTGCTTGAGCTACAGCTGTTCTAGCACTTGGCAACAGTTCAAGTAACTTCCCCTCTTCTGTCTTTTGCATTTCTCCATCATCCTTTTCTAAACCACAGATCTGCCAGGGCACATCTTGATTTCATAAAGTTTTAGGAAAAATGCCACATGTCTCCAGCTTTGTTGTTATGTGTGCAGCCAATCAAGGAAGTGTGCTATAAATTCACCATGGTCCTTCGACTGTCCCACCGGTAGTGGCATGCCTCACGCTTCATCCAAGAGAGGTTATTTGCTGACAAGCTCCCTTTTCCTTGCACAGAGCCTGCTGAGAAGGATTTCAGAATAAACTTGATTTATTGGACCTCGGACATGATATGGGGAATGAGAATTTGTTGCAAAGTCCTGCAGTTGTGATGGCTTGCTTTGAGTGCTGATATATTTCCCCAGTGTATAGTGCCTTGATAAAGTCATTGTTATGTGAGGACTTTCTTCAGAGGGATTGGATTTCACCACCTGCAAAAGAAATGACATATGTGAATGTTTTCTACATGCACCTAGAAGGATACACAGCTGTGTGCACACAACTGTTGAGATAGTTTTCCACAAAGCAGGTGCTGATACTCTCACCTTGAGCAGCAAGTTACTTACAAACATTATTATAGTGGGTCAGTCTGTTGTCTTACATGCTAATTAAAGTGCAAGATCCTATTCACTTAAGCTTTGAAAACTAAATGCTTAGCCACATTGTAATCATTTGGTTGGTTCTGTAATGTCTTCAATGTATTAGACTCCATCTTATCTTCATTAAAGACAATTTGATTTAACCTGTTAAATTCATGCTGCTTGACTTGCTTATACATCTACTATCGGAAAAAAAATGCACCTAAGCAGCCCTGACTTGCAGGAAGTTTTAAATATAGACCACGCTCTGCAGTTCACAGCCCAGGTCCAGCTCTGATCGCAAGTACCTGAGGGGCCTATGTCGTGTGTTAACTGTGAGCTCTGCTAGAATCTCCTAGCTCTCAGGTCTTGATGCAAGTTGTCCCAGCTCAATGTTGGAAAGAAAAGTGGGGAATGCCTTGTTTCCCCAAGAAGGGAGTTATGGTGCATTTTAACAGATCTCTCCCAGCCTGGACATTTGGTGTATCATACTGACATAACCACAGTGTGGTTCAGTAACTTATAGTGCAGAAGAACCTTCCTTCTTGGACTCCCAGATATGTGTAAAACCCTGGGATTACCACGCTCAACTGGTGTCAAATAATCAAATGTCCACTGGCCTGGAGAGAGAAAGTAAAACGTAGCTTCCTCAGGAGCCTCATAACTGGGGGGTCTACTGCAAGATGTTCAAGGCCTGACCTCAATGCGTACACAATTACTGATGCTGAATGAAGCAACTTTAAGAGAGACTCAACCTCAGAACCTTATACAGATGCAGGGCAGAGGACCCCTACCTGGGCAGTGGAAAATCTAGAGATAGCAAAAGAGGTGCCAGGTGGCTAACCTATTTAAAAGAGAAAAAAATATGCTGACCTGACAGAGTTCTAATGTTCTTCAATTTTGCTGACATAACAATCACAGGACACACTTGAAGGAATTGATTGCATTTCTTAATGCATATATTTATGCAAGGGCATAGCAGCTTTTTAGAAATACAAGGTATATTCAGGGTCACTTAGCAATCACTCAGAAACAATGTTCGTATGTAATGAAGCTCATAATAAATGGACAGAAGCAACTCACAAAATTAACTGTGAGTGAAGGAAAAACACAGGCAAAGGCTTGAAAGACTGGGCAGAGAGGCTATGAGGGAGCTGGCTGAACTTAAAAAAGAGCAAGAATTATCCATGTAGAAAATTAATATATCCTATGATCAATTTGATACAGCTAAGCCAAGAGCAGTTATTTGTTTTCATGCAATTACTGCAGGTTCATTTTTCTAAATTAATGCCTTAGATCACGTAACTGTTCCGAAATGATGACACCTTGAACCAATCACCCAAACCACATTCCTATTAGGCATAATCTCTAAGGAATGCAATCTAATGTTCATCCTGCAGCCAACCACTGATTAAGATACGAAAATCTCAAGGTTATTAGTTTCTACGTTGTGTTCATTATTTCATTGTCATTAAATAAAGGAATAAATCTGAATAAAAAATAGGTTGCATAAAGTCTTTACAAATACCAGCCAATCTACTTTCTCCATAAGCATTTGAGAAGAATGAGGTAATTAAAAAAATCATATTTGTGTGCATGCATAGAACTAGAAGCATGTTTGGGCAAAAAGTGCCAAAGTTATGCATGATTATTTTTGTCCCAGATCAGTCTAATCACCCAATGAGTTCAGCCCCCTTGACAATCTGAGTAAAGACTGTATTCTACAGAGCTGCAGATTTCTATGCTATCAGGATGGTCTGAGGCTCTCTGAAATGTGTTGGTGGGAACTCAGTTTATCAGGACAAATAGGGGCAATAGCTTTCTACTCGATCAGCTAGCAAGAACTAAATGAGAACTACTGAATGTATTTCAATTTTTGTTTTCTGACTGTGCAGCAAGCCCCCATTTCCACAAAGCTGTGCTTTAGTTCAGATGTCATTTACAGAGGGGTGCTATCTTCTGGGAGCTTAGGAGGTCGTTTTTAAGAGAAAGAAAGTGAAAGTACAAAGCAATGGGTTTAATCCTTCTCATCTGGCTTCATAAAACATGAAAAGTTCTGCAGTTTTACACAGTGTTCTTGGCTCTAGCCTCAGAGGCAAAATGCCATTTTCTTGGTGCAAACTGCTTCAGCGCTCGATGGAACTCCACTTGCCAGGATGTGGAAATAAACTGATGACAAAACTGTTAAAACTAACGAGGTATGAAAAGCATTAAAGGAGTTTCTTTTTACTTTTCTCAAGAACGAAGTCTGTTTTTTGGTGGCTGATGGATTCTCCCGGGCACATCTATGCCTCTTTCAGGCACAGTGGCCTCTGAAGCCTCATTAACAACAGCTCTGTGAGTCAAATTCTTCCCTGATCCTCCCCGAAACATATATTCTCTGTTAAGATCCTTTAGGCTGAAAAGCAAGGCCAAATCTGCACATGAGCTCATACAAAGTGATGGAGGAGTGTGTGAAAAATGCTGATGACTGATCACGCCCTGCTGTTTTCCACCCAGTTCCATACAAAGCATCTGAAATATTTCACTTTGAAGTTCTTCATTTCTCTCAAAAGGTCTGTGGAAATGGTGAGCATCTGCAATGACCCATGAAGACAACAACATCTGGGTTCTAGACAAAAAAGGGTCAGTATAACTGTTTGGGTGAAATGGAGGGAGGCATTTACTCCACAGGACTGATTATCCATTGCATAAATATCTGCTCCATGATTTACTCCCCCTCTCCCAGCTTCATTTAGACTGAGCTGTGTTCATGTCTCTCTAATGTATTGTGCAGAGTAGATTAAAGGATCAGTTAACTAACCATGTGTGCTGGGTTTGGTCCCACAGGAAGATAGAGGCCCCAGCAATGGGCTGCAAACATATGAGCTGCTGAGGAGTCAGAGGTGGGAATCAACTGTGACTTTTATACTCACTACATGAGATCAGACAGGTCAGATAAAGCTCCCAAACCTGTGCTCTGTACCAGTGACCCCCGTATTGGAACAGAGTCCCAGCCAAAGGCAGCTGGTTGCTTTCCTCTCTGTGCTTTGAAAACACATTTATTATCCGATAGACAGTTACGTCTCTGAGACTGTGTCTTTTTTTGTGATGTTTAAGGAAAATATTCAAAGCCTTATTGTTATTATTTTTTTTTATTCTACTGTATTTAAATGTGACTGATGTGGCTGAGAGAATTAAACATAATCCACTAGCTACAAGAAAATGGTCATGCTTACTAGGTAAGAGCTTGGCCAGCAGGCACCACAAGGACGCTCTGGAATCTATGTCTGAATTTTACAATTGTTACCATGTGTTCCAGTTTGTTTGTCTTAAACTATTCCGAGGTTCAATTAGCCACAGCAGATTTCATGTGTCTGATGAAGGAAACTCAATTTTTAGATCCTCGCTTTTCACGAAACTTTGAGGAAAATATATCAGAGTCGTCCTGACATTTCTTCACAGCAAAAACTAGTGCTTCCACCTGATTCCTGGTGGAATTCCATGGCCCACCCTTGTGGCCATGAAAGTCTATGGAGCTTCTATGCCAGCCCTGTGCATAACCGGGTCCAGGGAATGGGCTTGGCTAAGAGTGAGGCTTACAGAAAAACAGGCATGACTTGGCAAAATAAGCAAATAGCTTTTATTCTGCTCTTGAGAGATTCAGAAAACATTTGGTGATCTCTTGTTATTTGCAATAATTTGTTTTGATAGAAAACAAATTCCTCAAATCATTCTGGAATAAATGCTAACATTTCACTTGTGTGGTAGACAGTCCTTTTTATTATTTACATACTTTTGATGATCCTAATTTAAAAAATCTAGGATTTTCTCCATAAGAAATAACTTATGGATTCCTGTCTCCTACACGATACATCAGATTACTTTTGCCATTATTCATTAAATTCCTGAGATTTCTTTCCACTGGCAGCTCCTAGACTCAAATCCCCCACCTGACCATGAAATAGCATAAATCCATTAACTCTTGGTTTCAAAGAGACATCTTTTGCATCTTCTTTTTCCTGTAATTGTACTTTTCTTTCCATTTTCATTCATGGAGTAAATTTCATTCTTTATTTCTCTCTATTAAGGAACTTGCATCTCTCATCTCTCTTTTGATAGCACAGAAGAAATATAATCTTCCTGAAAGATATGATAGTTTAAGTTCTATGGTCCTAAAAGAATTTGATGGAATAAACTGGGGCAGTTTCTTAGCTTTTTATTAAATAGACAACCCATATTTAATTCATATGAATGACGATTCTTGCAGCATCACAAGAAAGTTATTATTGTGCTAAACATCATCTATAGAGATTCCAGAAGGCTTCTTTGTGCTTAGATCCAGCCACGAATTGAAGTATTGCTTACTGATGATTATGAATTGATTACTGATGATATAGGAATGCATAATTTCAGTTTTCATGCAAGAAACGTTTTTTACTAGAAATCAGAAGCTAAACAGCTGGAAGGATAGGAGCCCCCTTTATTCCTCAAAACTTTTCCTAGTTTCCAAGGAGAGTAATGTGCTATTCATGGTTCTTCTCTAGGGCAAATGCCTCAGTGAAATGTTCAGATTCTCAGAGGACTAATCACTCATAACAGGAACCTAGGAACTGGTCTTTTGTACCAACAAGCTGGTGCCATAGGTAATGGTGGCATTGGTGATGCTTCTTTAACTATCAATCACATGCGGAACTACTGCCGTCAATCTTACAGCAGAAGATACCTGCTTAGTTGACTAACCAGAAATAACACTCTGTTTTTATTCAGGGCTTCCTGCACTAAATCCAGGAAGCACTTCCTCGTTTGTTATATAGGTACAAGAAATGCAAACCAAACCAAATCAAAACGCTCCTTTGCTGATGGGGAAAGGCAGTCATATGAAAAGACACAGCACATACTCAAAATACATCCTAAAGGAACCAGAACTTTAAATATCTTGTTTTTTCAAATTCTTTACTTTCACTGGTTTCGCAACCCCCAGGTTGATTTTGTGCCTAGCCATAATAATGTGTTTGCATATTTGTTTTTGATTTAATCCATGGACGCTTGTCATTTGTAGTATCTGGTGAAGATTCCCAGCCAGAACTTTGAAGCATCAGAAGAATAAGTCCTCAGTTGCCCTAACACATATTTTACAAAGCGTCTATTTCATTCCTGCCAATGATTGTAAAATGGAACACAGAATCTCTACAGATACTCACAGGAAAAAGAAAACAGAACTACTCACACTAATGAGAACGAATGACCTATCATCTTCTATTGATATAGTCAATTATTATAACTATTCCAGATAACTGTTTCTCAGACACATGAAAATAAATATACAGCAGGAAGATGGGTCTTTATTTTAAGCTCCATTTCAAATGTATCAGGGCTTTGATCGGAGGGTATCAGGGTTTGATTGGAGTCTGCTGACCAGCTCTAGACTGTAGTCAGGCAGGAAGGCTTAAGACAAACACTTGTGTGGATGAGGCATGATAAACAGATAAACTGAATAGATCCAAAAGCAGTAGGAATATATAATGCACAGCAAATAATATGAGAACCTGGAAACCGTACAATATCCTTTTTATACAAGTTACTTTTCAGAAGAGCACACTTGTTTTTACTGTGAGGAATTGTCATTGCATCACATGTAGCCAGTCCTCAGGTTGTGTTCTGCTCTGAACACTAAGTGACAAGTACCTTCATACCTATTGCAAGCTTTGCGACTTTTATTCAGGCCTAACTTTGAGTCATGTGTAACAATATTGTTGGATACTTTTTTGTTTCTAAGAAATAGGAAGTTAAAATCTCTTTTAAATAATGGAGAATGATAAAAACGTAAACTATTACCTCATGGAAATGACACCCACACTTCCCTTGCAGGAATTCTTTGTAGCGTCCCATTGTGATGACAAACGTGTCAACAACTTCATAACCATAATTCTTTGCTGTATCCAGAATAACTAAGTTTTCATTCCATAAGTTTTGCACTTCTGTCTGCATTCCAGACAAAACATTGCAATGTTAAAGCAGTATCAGAAGGACAGTCGTTTAAAGGTTGCATTGTACCATTGAAATGAATAGCAAAAGAGCATTTTGAATAAAACAATTATGTTATTTACCAGACATGAATTACTGTAAGTTCACTCATGAAAATAGCTATCACTCCAAGATGTTTGTAGATATCTGCATAAGTTTCTTAAAATGGTTTTTGTAGCACAGAAATGGTTATAAGAAAATCATCAAAAATTTCCCTTATTTACACAACAAATTCGGTTGATTTAAATAAGATTTAAACTAAAAATCTAATTACCAGTAATTGTAACTTACTTTTCAGTAGTTATGTAGCTTCCTTAATAGGAAGATTTCAATGTTGCTTAAAATATAATTACTAGGTAACTGTTTCTTTAATATGTACTTAGCTAATATGAGGTATAATTCAGAAAAAAAAGTCCTATTGCAAAATCGTCTGTGTAAGAAATGGTGAAAATCTCCCTGTAAAAGACAAGTTCAACTTCAAATCAAAGTCATTGAGACTGTTGCTTAAAAAGTAGGGCAGCGTCATGGGAATCTTTGAAACGGCTATACTGAAGAACAGTTTATTATTTCTCAAGATACTGCTGGAAGGCTAGGAATAGAAAAAAGGCTAGCTATAAAATTGTCAATTCAGTGTATTTGATGCTTCAGACAGAAAGGCTTTGAGAGTATCATCTGGGGTAATCCACAAGTCCAGAGCACCCAAACGACATGGGTAATTTGGCGTATGATTGAGACATTGAGAAGAAAAAGAATGCTGGGTACACCCCGCAGCTGCTTTCTCGAGTTCTATGAATTTACTGGGCAAGAAACTGAAAAAGGCAATCCTGGGAAGCCTTCAATGCTTTTTCTCTTCTTGCCTTACCTACCTTAGATGAAAATTCTACTTCTTCCACCTAGGACTTAGCTCTAATGAAAGCTATGATAGGAGCTAAAACAATTCTTATTGATTTCAACTATTTCCCAAATAGTTTCCCAAAATTTACACATCTAAATAAATTAGGGAAATAGGTAGAATCAGTAAGAAAAAATTCAATGAAGACAAGGCAGATAGTAGTAACTTAAAAGAAAGAAAGGGAAAAATCTAGCAAGGTGGTTTCAGTAGCTAAAAGAACGGTGAGAGTAGCAGTAAATCACACACTGAATAAAGCAATGTGTTATGATCGCAAAAATAGGTGAGTGGCAGTCTCCAATGTGACAGTATTGTATGTAAACTGTGACAGCTAATTATTTTCTCTTTTCAACACCTATGAATAGTTGGACTGTTATATGAAACCATGGTAGCCAACATTTATTCTGTTCTGTCCTCGAGCACTTCCCAGCTTTGTCTCATCCACACATTTTATACGTATTCTGTGTTGTAAACAGAGAATCTCACCAAATTGTAAATAAAAATATTGAATGAGTTACACAATATATTAAAATGAACCCATCTGTTATTCTGAGAATTTTGGACATGATTTGAACTGATTCTAACACCCTATTAACATATAAATAACTGGCTAGACTCACTGGTACTTTCCAGCTGCTTTGTAATGTTCTGGCTTAACAGATTGGTTAAGACAGATTTATGGAGAGCTGTGCAATATAGTTAGCCCAGTGAATCTGATCCAGCAGTAACCATGGAGGAAGCCTCAGGAGGGTCTGTGCTCTATGAGGTACAAAGAACAATCTGCTTATCTCCAACTGAATTTCTCAACTGTGGCACTAGGCTTAATATCGGAGGTTTTTCTAGTTCTTGGAATAGCTGACTGAGCATGACATCTCTAACGGCTCTCCAATTATGGTGGAGATGAATTAAGGCTAATTGGTTTGAATCTGCATCAGCAAGCGATATTAGCAAATACAAACATTACTCTTTCTTTGATCCACTGAAGGCTTGTTCAGCAGAGGTGGTAACATATTTTGACCAGACAGCAAAATTATTGTTGAAATGACAAGTCTTCTATGAAAATGCACTCCAAATATACCTGTAGCTTACCTGTGATAAAGAATGTATTCCATCCACAGGCAGGTGAAAGCCCATCCCTATGGATTTGATAATTACCAGGATATTTGATAGATTTTCCCTATTTGGAAATGAAAAAAATATATATGAGTTTTACTTGCAGACACATCAAAAGACCCTTCATTTTTTTCTTTCAAAGTCAATTGATTTTGAAACCATGAGAAAATGAATGAAATGTTTGTATTTGAAATTTTTGGTGAAATTGATTTTCATAATTTATCACATCAAGACTTGACTTAGAATAACATTAAGTACATAACATTACCTACCTGTTCAACACCTTTTGAATAATTTGCAGGTGATTAGAATTAAGCCACTGAACACCACCTACAATTAATACGGTCTGTTCTGTGTTCTCAAGGGGACGTGATCTGAAACCCAGAAAAAAAATCAACACATGTTGGCTTAGAACAGATGGCAAACATTTTAACTGCATTGCATTACATTTCAATGAACTGTGTCTGACATCCTGATCAGATGCCTGATGTCATTGTCTGCTATTTTTCAACCACACAATATGGTCTGCACACATTATGCTTAATTGTTTACTGACTTTAATTGTAAAAGCTGTTAAACACATTTGTGAATAGAATGAGAATACAAACAAGCCAGCAACAGAGTTTATACTGTACCTCTGCAGTAGTTGTTTGAGTGCTTTCTCAAATGTTGGTCTCTGGTTTACACTCATCCAAAATTGGGGATAGTAAGAGTAACTGATAAATGTTTTCCCCTCATTGATATTATGATAGCATTTAACATCATGAGTCTTTTGCCATTCCTGAAGAGTCTCATTCACTCTTTCTATTAGATAGTACATCATTCCTCTGTTAGTTGAGTCACCTATGAAAAGAATCTTTGAATAGGAAAAAAAAGATATGATTTACTTTTAGTAGTTACACACAGCAAGAACCTAATGCTTAGAAGAGAATATTGCTAGGCTGGGGGTTTGTAAACCCTGTTCAAGACTGTTCAAGAAATCTTTCTGTGAGCTACCAGTTCTCCAGTCCTGTCATCTCTATGCTGCTATTTTCCTTTAGCAAAATATATTTGATTTAATTAACAAAAAGCCATATTATATGTTACAAAGACAAAAAATAAAATTTATAGATGGCTACAGCCGCACAGTTATAGTTCTGTATTTTTCATCCTTCTTGCTCATTTCTTTTACTTAGGTCTATATTTACTTCTGATTGCTAGTACAGAGCCTTTCTTGATTGCTTGCAGCTTCCTTCTGTACTTCCTCCAGTTGTTCATGTGGTTTGTTCCTACACAATGTGTCTTGGTTACCTTGTCTTCCAGAAAAGTGACTAATTAGTATTTAAACCAAAGTAACACACATACTAATGAATGCTGTAGCGGCCATATTTGCAAATAAATTGTCCTTTTGCCGTTTCAGAAGGTAAAAGAGGATTATTTTGGTGGCAACGACTCTGAATTGAGTCCTGGTGTGGGTGTGCTGTGACGATAAGGAAGCACTGCTGCCTGAAGACAGTTTGAAACTCCATCAGTATGACAGAAGGCCAAGGGACATGATGCAAAGAGGTCCTGTTTTGCTGATACTGTGTATTTTACAGCAATCCAGCAGTGGCATGTCATTCTAAAGATTTTCAAGGTCTCAGATATTGCAGAGCATCAAAGACTGAAATTTGAATCCTCAGACTCTTTCTCCGTTTTTCATTATGTCAAAAATAGAGCAAAACAACCCTCTCACATATGCTCCATTTACTCTATTGAATATTTTAGTGTTGTAGAACTTTAAAATTTCTACACATCCACACACATCAGCTGATCCATGTGTGAGTTTTTCAAGCCTGCACTGGGGCACTCAGCTGGCAAGATCTGAAGGAGAAAACTGTCAGTGGGAGGGCACCATGCACACTCATTTAGAAAATCAGTACCAGGAGAGACAAGCTATGTAAGATCATTTTTTCCAGTGACAGTTCTAGTCCTTAAATGCCATGATGCTAGGCACTACAGGAAATATAAGCTGGGATTTACAACACTATTTTTGTTGTTGTCCTCATGTTCTGAAAACATGAAGGGGATGCCAGAAGTCAGAACAGATGGGTTTCAGACCTGTCAATACAACTGAAAGAATTTGGACCTCGATACATTTTTTCAAATAATATCACCAGACTGAGGAAAATGTACATAGCCTATCTCTGAAGCAGTAAGGTTCTTAAGATTACCTTTCACTCTAAGTGAGCTTGTTGTCAGGAGGTAAAGCAGGTCAGGAAACAGGTTAAGCTGGATAGCTAATGCTACTGAGTGCCTGGATGTCCAGCTGGGTGTGAATATATATATTTTGGGGAGAAGGTGTGGCTGAACAGGATGAGTCAGAAGGACAGATGGCAACATCAAATTGGTCAGGAATTCAAGTTCTTACACTAGTTAAACTAATAGACTCAGAAATAGGTCTGCTGTGAGAACACCTGATGTAAGTAAGTCAGGCAAAGAGAAACACGTCAAAGGGGACCTGTAGGTGTAGAGAAAGCCTGATCAAAAGTGTAGACTATTCTTAAAGATATCAGTGAATTCTAACAACCATATTGACTTTCAGTCAAGAAGTCTTTGACTGTTCAGAAAAGGTATGGGCCCTACCATATCATTTCCATCATGCAATTCTATTTCACTCCAGCTACTACTTTCACAGTGGAATTAAAGCCTCATGGAAAAACATGTCTTTAAAGATAGGACTGCAGGATGTGCACTCTATTCTCCCTACTGCCCTGCCCTGAAGGACAACTCTGAAGTCTTTTTGTTTTCTTCACTGGAGGATACCAGTAGTAACACTCCATAGACTGTGCATGCTGGGATTGTAAAGGGTCTGCTCTCCCATAAGCCCAGCAGAGAAGATCTCAGATAGAAAGATGAATGTGTAATCTGATGTATCCCAGGTCGCCTGACATTCACATGCATAGCACATCACCATCATAGCCACACACGCACATCCACTCATCAAGGACTTTTGGATACCCAATAATCTGATCTGAACTATCATTCCAATTATGCTGTGAGAGTTCTCTAAATCCTAGAAAAAATAGACAAATTCTTCTTTTTCTTCTAGAAAAAATTCCAGGTGGAAGGAGATTTCTAGGGAATCCTAACTGCACAGTAGCTATAAACAAACATTAGCTTTGCAAAGTGCCCTTGTGCAGAGCTGACTAAGCAAGTTTTCACTGTGGTATGTGAGCCATCGGAATGCATCTTTCAAAGCATCCACACTTTGCAAGCTGACTTCATTTTCAGCAAATGCTTGGAAGACCCAAAGGCTAAAGTAAGCAGTGTATAGCCCCTGGAAGAAAGCTTGTATTCTTCAATTAACCAAGAGCTTCAATGAATCAGAATATAATCATTCAATGTAATTGAGTGTATGGTAGCTATAGCAACATTTCTATCATTCAGTTGCACCAGCTTATTATAGTTCTGCATGTGCCATATAGTATTTAATAACTATCTGAGCCAAAAGCTCTGTTGATAATTCTGTACTTAGGTCTGCAGCATTTATGAGCAAAATGATGGTTCAGGTGTTATAGAATATGCCATATCTCATTTCCTTTACAGTATGGCACAAGGCTTAGTCATGCGCTGTTCAAGTCAATGGGGGATTTGTCTGCAGGATGACTAAAGGATCAGGCACACATAAGGCTATACTTTTACTAGACATAGTGAGCACTTTCATGCAGACAGATGTTTTCAGTGTCTTTTGCTGCAAACATTTGCGTGAGGAAAATTCATTACAACTTTCAGACTTCAACAGATTGTGTAAGCATAAGTGGTCTTAACCAGACCCATTATTACAGATTAATCACACTTAGGAAACACCTGTAAGTCCAAAATACTACTTAACTCTAAACATTAATAAGCAATTGTAAGCTAAAATTCCTGTTTTAACAGCTGAATTTTAAGTATTTCAGCAAATATTTCCTTTTCATATTTCCTGTTCTTAATTAAATATGACTCAAAGGTACTTCATTACAAGACTAAACTATTATAAGACTAAATCATTTTTGAATGATAAACAAAATACTTGTTTCCCTGCTATTGAGGTTTCTATATACTGCTAATTGGACAACTAATTACCTGTTGTAATCCCTTTCCTTTCACCTATTTTTAAAAACATTCTAGTACAAAAATCACAGCATTATGCCTTAACAGAATTGTATAAATCTTACAGCAAAAGCTCATTAACCACAATTACAGTGGATCTGTTGAGTCACTATAATACTAATGTAATTTTTAAATTATGATTACCTATTTCTTTGATTCATTTAGGTCATACATTTGTAGTTCCTCAAGTACTAGTATTTACAGAACAATATAACTTGCATCTTCTTGGCCATAGTAAGAGTTTAAAACAGAGAAAAAGGACTGCAGATATTAAAGTGACCAAAACACACTCAGCCAGAAGTCACCTTAGACTCAACTCTATAGAATTTTCCTGTTTATTGTGTCTGAAATACAAACGTATGACTGATTAGTCTTGCTAGCACACAATAAAGTAAAATAAGATCTCTTATAAACTGTTTTTGTGAAAGAGTATCCTTTCTCATGTCTCCACCAATTTGAGTGTTATTGTTTCACTACAGGTGGTCTTTATGTTTTTATGAAACAGAAACAGCTCAAGCTCAAACATAGTTTTACATACATACAAATTCAAATAGTTAATGAAGATGTAAAACCAATTGGAAGCTATATCCAGGTTAAATTAATTTCTGTCATAGAAAAGGAGTATATAATTTTAGAGATGAGCTCTGAAGTACAAACACATTTTAATACAAGACATAAAAGCAGCCTGAAGTTAGAAAACAAAATTTAAGAAATATCTTTTTGCAGGATTTATAGCTAAATTAGGAAAGAAGTGCTCTGTTTGAAAGACCATAATTATATCTCAGAAACATGAATAAATACATAAAACAAATTAATGAACAAGGGACATATCTGAAAGCTGCATTTTTCTGTTGTTCTATGAAACATGGGAAAACTAGAATAAGTGCACTTCAACGTGCCATTAGTCTTCAATATGCTGTATTTCATATTCACTTTCCATCTTATTCTATCAGTTGCTGAAATTCATCCACACCAAGGATACAGCACAGCAGTGGTTAATTTATTGTGTTTCCTTTCACGTTCATTAGGGACAAGTATTTTTGTTTCTTTTTTACATATAAAACTAAAAGGGAGTATAAGAAAACAACTTGTGGTTATCATAGCTGGAATTTGACAGTGGCATAGAGGTTAACACCTCTTTTTCAAAAGAAAAGACATAATCACAGACACTTATGATGTTTACAAAGTTGTCTTATGATGTTTTAGCATCAGAAGTGAAGCCCAGCAGGTCAGCATCCTGAAACCAATCCATATTTTTGATTCAGGACAAAAATTAGAGAAGACAGATGCGATATATAAATACCTCTACTTGCTTTTTCCTTTGATTCCTGTTCAAATTCATATGAGTCTGAACTTTTTTATGAAGGACATTCAAAAGACAAATTCAGTGACTGGGAGTGTTAGTATTTTGATGAAAGACATGATTTAATTTGATCCAACCGTGCTATAGACACACATATCTCTGCTATATTCAGAGGGCGGATTGCTAATTATTTAGGGTGCATGGAGTTCTTATTGCCTTAGTTCGGGATGAACTTGGAGCAAGAATTCAAACGCTGAGTGGTCTGGTGGTAAGAGAATGGAACTGAGATCCATTGGGAGATCTCCCAATTTGAGACTGGGAAATCTCACATTTACTTCCAGTTCTGATGGAATAATATTACCTCTGATGCTGTAAAATGTAGATCGTGATACATGACTCATTGGTAAAGGATTTTTAACTCCAGAGATCAAAGTTATACAAGCTGAATATTGTTAAGTGTGATGGCATAATACAAAACACCAGAATACAGAGATACAGGGATTACTTGAGCACGTTTTGAGAAATGGACACAAGTGAACTCTGTTGTTCTCCTCTACTTCAGCAAATGGCGATAAAAATCAAATGGTCTTCTACATCACCTCAATATCCTCATTTGGGTTGTTGATTTGCAGTTCTATTTTGCTCTCGTGTTCTTTTTGCAGTCTGCTTACATTTCCAGCTTTGAAACCTTCTACTTATTTTAATAAGGAAACTATGATGTCATTAATTTGGATAGAATTCAGTGACCTCTGTAGTGCTTAAAGCCAAAGTATATAATGGTTTGAAACTAATATCACAAATGAGGAACTGTAAATACGTATAAGATGGTTACCAAGATCTCTTGTATAATAAAAATATATTAATCAAAAGAATTATACCTTACTATCTGCTCAATAACTACCTTATAAAAGATCTAGTTTGCTTAAAAGTGCATAACAGCATACAGCGTAACTGATAGGCAAAAGCCTTTTTCAGTGAGCTCCTGAAAAAAAATTTTTTTTCTATTACATTGCTCAGACTGTGTAAAGTAACCCTAAAATTTGCCTTAACTACAGACAGAATCAGGATCCTATTGTACAAGCTGAGGACCATTTTACTCATCTGATTTATGTATGAAGAAAGCCTCTCTGACTTCTTAAGTTCTACTGATGTGAGGGGGGTGATCCAAGATCTGTGCTTACATATTTTGGTGAAAGAAACATAAATGTTATTCTGAAATGATTCATGAAGTTAATACCACTGCAATGTAACAAAAAAAAAAAAATCAGGGAACTAAAAATGCAGAGATATACGAGAAATTTACCAAAAGGATAACATTTGAAAAAGGAATGACTTTCAAGGAATAAACCAGTTAAATGAACATCTGTGCTAAGACAAGAGTAGTGTTCCAGCAGATTTCTACAGACCCAGGAAGGTTATTAGAGAAAGAAGAGAGACTTTTGCAAAAGAAGCAGAATGGGAAGCAAGTGCAGTTAGTTTTACAAAATTTGTTCTAATAGTATGTTAGTGTAATTCAAGCAGGATCTGGTTCTCATCTAACAGTAGCATAGATCAGTGACTTCAAAGATTCAGAACATATAACAGAATTTGAATCAAGGAAACAATCTCAAAAACTTTCATGTACTGGGTTGTATATGTTGAGTTGCACCCTTAACGAACATCCTATTTTTCACACTGGTGAACGTGAGTGCTCAGATTCAGGAGGTGGAAAAGTGAGCCTAATCCTCCCAGCACTACTCTGGGAATCCATAGTGGCAAATTTTTCCTTTTCTATCCATTTATTCTCTGATAAAAGGGTGCTTGCTTACTGAGGCAGCCTGCTATCTATGTAAACTAAAAACCAGAAAAAAGCTGGCAAACTCACTTATATTTTTTGATGCGCTCAATCCAAAAATGTTTGTTTTGTACATAGGGGGCAAATCCAGCTTCTCCCCCATAGTACAAACCTATACTTTTGTAAGAGAAATATGGTAGGAGAAACCCAAAGGTCTGTAGTAATGGTGAAAAACATTTGTAGAAATAAAGTAAAATGGCAATGAAGGACTTTGTGCAGGATGAGAAATGATCAGAAAAGGAGAAAATGTTAATTGAAAGACTTTTTTAAAATTATTTTTCTATACGGAAATTAGCTCAGATTTTATCACAGTGTCACTTTTAATTACTATTTTTTACCTAGGCAATACACTGAAAAATCTTTATAACAATTAATTACTTACTTTCTGGATACCTGTATCCTCAGTAATGTACCTGAGCCTCAGGTAACAGATCTCTCTCAACTGTTTTACAGTCATACCATGCCTATTAAGGAGATCGTGTATTTCCAAGCAATCACCTTAGAAGCTTCACTATAAGAAAAGAATGTGCAAGAAGACTCGGTAAGATTAGTGCGCACAAGCAATGCCATGCATTAGGTATGCAGCCCAGGAAACCGAACTTGCATGTAAAGTATAAGACAAACTGTAACAACAAAGCAAATCCATTCTTCATTCCCAGGGCTTATACATTCACCACTATCAAGCACAGTAGGTTTAATCAGTAACCATGTATGCCTTAGGTCTGGAAACTCCACTGGTGTGACCTAAGGTCTATGCTAAATGGCAGTGTACAAGTATGACTGCATATGAGGTTAAATTATTGATAACACTTGTTTTTCATCCCTGTGGATTTCTATCCAAACTTTTTTCCAATTACAAGTAAGGATTCTTTTAACACACCAATCATAAAATTGTTTTTAAGACTTCAGGACACTAAATACCCCAGTAAATACAAATGAATTCAAATGTAAAATCTATTACCTACCCTTCTGCCCTCCGCGCACTGCTGGAGCTCAGGTTTGGCTAGCACAGCATACTGGCAGCCGTGTGGCTGCCATGTGATTTCCCTCCAGTCACAGGTCCTGTTGTCAGAGCAGCTGAGGCAAGGGACAATCCATTGCCCTGGAAAACAGTAAAGTGGTGTCAGCATCTCCTTTGTATTTCTGTGAGTAGCTTTATTATGGAGGAAGTGAGATATTTTCAAGTATTTTGTTGTCGGGGTTTTCCATACTTTTAATTCCCTTCCCCTCCCACTGAAGAGTCTGTTTCCTTCTTTTGTGTTAACCCTTTTCCATTTAGCAGGCAGGAGAGTTTTTTTTTTTTTTTTCTGAGGGAATTGGGAATGCTTAGATTTGGTGGGTGTGTGTGCGTTCATTTATTGTTTCATTTTACCTTTCTTGTAGCAGTTCAACTTTCCTAAACAGAAGGGATGCAGTAAGGGGAAAGGGCTGGGGTGAGGGAGGAAGAATGGGATAAGAAAACATTTGCAGTTCAGAAGTATCTAAAGACAAGATTCATCTCATCTATCATCAAAAGGTTAGGTAGCTGATCAAAGCTAGACTTTGAGAGCCCCTTGATAGTAAAATGAAGCAAGACAGAGGATAACTTTCTCTCAGAAATTCTCATTTCTTTATATTGAGACAATCCAGCCAATTGGCCTGGACAACAGTAATACATTAAAGGCGGTGAAAGTTAGGTGAGATGAATAACCTGTATGGTTTATTAGAGCCTAATTCCTACTTTCAAAAATAATTTTGTAATTTAGGAGCATAACATGGGATTACCAAAAGTCAGTGGGTTTAGGCATCTGTTACATAAAGTTCAACGTAAGGTTGAAGATAAATGGTTTAGTTGTTCTTGTTTTCTAAAGTTGTTTAAGTCCAAAATCCTTCTGGAAGTCAGAGGGACTTAGCTTCTGAAGGAACACAGAAAACCTGGGAGTTGCTTTTATACTCAGGTCGACACCAGAAACACTTTTTCTAGCCCGTACAAGTGCACAGTGCTCACAAGAACTCCCAGTGTCTATGTAGGTATGCCAGTAAAATCTGCTTTGGCCTGTGATTAAAGGAGTTACACAAGGAAAAGGACACAGGTCACCAGATTCTTATATCAATGCTATTATGCCTTGCTAGCACAGTTCAGTTCTCATTGTAGCCCAGCCAGGAGAGCTCCACCAGCCAATGTCTGCAGTGTAGATTTAGCCTTCAAGTTTGTGATTGTCCTTGCTATCAGACAGCAGCTCATGCTGTATTTTGCTATGTTGACAACAAACAGCGGCCACAAGCAGAAAACAAGACTGGTGCTTATCAGCCTTTATCTGGCCGAGTGCTGAGTGGGAGGGTGAGTGAAGCAGCCCTCCTAGAGGCCTTGAAGAAGTCAGATGCTACCTTAGGAGCAAGAAAATTTTCAGGGAGGTAACCTGCAACTGAACTGAGGAAAAACAAATATGTTTTGGTAAATAGCAGTGTGAGTTGTCTTACCAGATAAAAGAGTCCTCTTAAATAAAACTATCAAGAATTAATTTGCACTGGAGCCCACTCATGCACCTAAGGGCAGAATATAGCCCATAGTGCTAACACCATGCAACTCCAACTGCTATTTAGCATATTCTATTCAGTGCAGAAAATACTCCCCTGCCATCCCATCAGCTATATTTGATGTTGGGCAACTAAGTGGGAGACTGGACTAAATAAAAGTCTAGACACTTAGGTGCTTGTCCTTAAGGACAACATTCCCCACTCCTCTCATCAGCTGAGGATCACTTTAAAGTTTCAAAATTCATTGGGACAGAAGAATAGCATGATTGTAACATGGTAATTTATTTGGAAGAAGAGAGACCTGAGCTTTGGTCCCTGGGTGAGGTTTGATATAGACTTTTTATCCAGGGATTAAAGTGCATCTTTATCAAAGGTGTAAAGTGAATAATCAGGTTTGGAGCAGAGAGCACTCTTCCAGCTGAATATCCTGATCACTGAGGCACCGAGGGCTAAATTAGGACAATTCTTCTTTCTGGCAGCCCTTTCCCCACCCCCATCATTGCATTGGGTGTTGTGAACCCCTTCCTCATGGAGGCCCTCCCCCTGGCTTCATGCAAGCCTGTGGTATCCTGGCCGCTGCTGGGAGCCAGGGATGCTTTGACACTGAAAGTTTTCTATTGCCTTCTGTGGATCTGGCCCTTAGTTCCCTCTGAGCTCCCTCCATGCCCCATTTGGAATATATAGCTATGTGCAATATGTGGTAATTTCCAGTTTCACAGCAGTCTTACGAACACACTGAAAACTGCAAGTGATAGGCATCATGTAAATACCTTTTACTGCCTTAAGCTTTCTGAGGAACAGAGTAGGGTCAGAATTGGGTTGGTAGGGTTGGTTTAGGCTTTGGATTCAGAGAATATCACTACCATAGAGATCTTCAAAAATGATCTGAAAGCTGTTTTGGGCAGTGGTTTATATTTAAAAATTATGTGAAAACAGGGCAGTTTTTTTCCTGACATAGCAATTTTTCTTTCAAAGAAAATACATAAAAAAGTTCTGGCAATGGCTGCAACATTTGAGATTCCTCATCATATGGAACTTTCTGAACATCTCATACATTTATGAGCTGCTCTGTTTTTAGGTAGTAAACTGGAAAAGCAGAACCATATAAAAGCAATATTGAGAAACTGAAACATCTGAACAATAAAAATGTAAACTTTGGCAACTGAAAGTGATAAGCCTATTGAAAAGCTTCTTTCAGACAGTTTGTGTGATTTGTGATCAATAGCATTCTAGGCATATTAAGGAAGAACTAGATCCATTCTTTGGCATATGCTTAAGATCAGTGGTAAATGCAAAAAAATGACAAGACAATGATGTACGAAGACAAATCCATGTTTATAGGAAGCACTGACATTTAACAGTAACAGAATAGTTTAAGTTGCTTTATTCAACAAAGATTTTAAAAATGCATAAGTTTATGTATTTTTAAACTAATTATTATAAACTTTCCCTATTGTAACTTCACAATAGTCAGTGCCTTCCTAACCTTCATAAATAAGATTTTTTTACAGATAAAATGAATCCTATATGTAAAATTGGAAGATAATGAACAGTGAAAAACTGCAAACAATCAATATTAGCTGGGAAATTAAATTTATTTTCTATTGCAATTACAAGTCTTTTTGGTAGTAGCAACCAATACAGCTTTCAGTGCACTTTCAGTTAGCCTGTGTTTTAGTGCCTAAAACAATACTGATTCTAACAGGCAAGGCAGAGCGCACCTAGAATTCATTGAAGGACAATAAGTAAGAGAGAGTTGCTGTCAGTTGAAGTTTAGCCCCAAATTAAAAAATTGCTAAAAATAAAGTTTCATGAAAGCTTAAAAATATAAAGATTTCCACAGGAAGAATGAAAGTAGATTGGATTCTTCAGCTTATAAAAGAGGCTTAATAGTTGCACACATCAACCATCTGCCTATTATATGAGATTAGACATTGCCAGTACTTGCATAAACTGCTCTCCTAAAATGGTATAAAAACAAATATGCATTAAAAAAAATTCATTGGGACTATTTATCTTGTATTTAAGTAGGCATATGACTGTTAGCCTCAAGGTAAAAAGTCTTAATCAATAAAGGCTGTACTCTTATTTTGATGGTGTTTTGTTTCTTCTGGGGAGTATTCTCAGTTTCTTTTACTTTTACTCAACCTGTCTAATTATCATAGCCACAAACACACACATTTTGCATGAAAGATCAAAATCAAAGCTTTTTTATAATGGCGAAGAATTATCCATATATACAGAAAAAAAATCTAATTGACAATTCTAATCTGAATATTTAACTTAAACTTATGCTGAAAATAGTTTGTTGCTTTATGACTAGTTTATTTTTATATTTGGCATCTGTTTGGCATCCTAAAACTTTTTAAAGATGTTTTCCTGGTGGCTGAAGTATAAAAATATTTTTATTTTGTTTCTTGCAGCATTTGTTAAAAAAAAGGTAACAATATTTTTTAAAGGATACCATTTTAATGGTAGGGAATAAAATGGCCTTAGGCCTGCAGAGACTTATGTCTAAACTTGTGTTTACTCACTGTAACCAAATTATAACTAAGGAGTCACTCCTTTAGTTAAGCATTGGCTTATGTCTCTGCTGGGCCTAAATCCAGAGCGCTTTGGAATGCAAAGAGAGAGATCATGCAGAATTATGTTATACTGGATACAGTTGTGGAAAGTGTGGACAACTGAATACAACCAAAACATGCATGTCACAGCAGAGAGGCAAAATGTTAGAAGTGAAGTTGTGATCTCTTAAACAACAGATTTTTGCAATTATCTGCCTATCAAATTTCCATGGACTTCAATAGCCTGATTCAGTAGGAGGAATTTAGCACAACTGGGGGTTACCCTTGTATTTATCAACCATCTCTCTCTCTTTCTGTGAAGCCAACCACACTATTAGCACTTGCTAACAATCTTATTGTTAATAACATAGCAACACTGACTAGATGGCTAATTATTCTGTGATAGCCTGGTTCAAAACCCATTGACTCAAAGATTTTTTTTCCTAAAGGAAAAAGGATTTTTGTCACTATAAAGGCTGTCATTATTTTGGTCCACGGTCCCAAGAAGATGGAAAGATAGAAATTCTTCCTGTTCAATATTCATATTTTGTATTTATTGAAGAAAAAAGAGAAAGAAATAGGTAAAACAGATGTGTATGGGTAAAATGCTAGGCTTCCTCCAAAAAATGTTGTCAGAGTGAATAGGACTGGAGGCAGTTAGCCCCTCCTTTGATTAGATCCTGAATTACTGTTTCCACACTATATCAAAGGACTAGAAATGAAGCATGAAATCCTGGTCATACTGAAGTGCAAGGCAGACTTCTAAGCTTTAGTATCAATTTCAGTGGAGCTAAGGTTTCATTTCTCTGCTGGCCTGCCTCAGTCTCTGCCTATGTATGCATTAATATAACAAACTTTTGCCAGCGTAGATAACAGTTATTGAAGGCAATCCTTTAAAGAGTTGCACTGTTTTGAAGGGCAATGAGTTTAATTTATTGCACTACTTTGCCAATAAGCCTTGCACTGTTTAGCTATGATAGTACCTTGGTATCCCTATACAGCTAAGCTGTTCCTTAGTTTAAGCACAACATATGACACTGAGTTACTTCTGTAGAATTTTGGGGTTCTCTTCTGGGACAAAATAGGAGATTGCTTGAATATTCTGAAAATCTGGCCAATTAAAAAAAAGAGATGCTGTTGCTGATTTAGTTGGGAATTTAAAAAGGTGTTAGGAAAATGCTCACTGTCAGGATTGAAATGTCATTCAGTTGTTACAAATTTGGAATGAATTTGCACAAAAAGTGATGCTTTCCACTTCCAGTATGAATTTGTGAACTACATATACAGCCGTTTGTTAATGCCAGCTACTGTAAATCCCAGTTCTAGGCACATTAGACGCTTCATCGCAATCTTCATTCTAGTAGAAGAAATGATTCTTCCCTTCCTTTTAGACCTGTCCTTTGAGTTTCCTGAATTTCTTTCTATTTTAAATATGAACACTATTCACAGTAAGGCTGTGAAAATATTTTATATTCAGCCTCACTTAGCTAGATGCAGTATTTGAAAGAATCATGTTATATATCGGGAGAAATGGACTGTCTGCCCCAGACAACTCCTCTGCCAATTTAGTTTAGACTTTCTACTCAGGAGCCTTATGTCTTGACTTAGTAGCATGGGCTGGGTTGTTGTTCTTTGTGGCTCATAAATTGCTGTGTGATGAAAATATGTTACCAGATACAACAGTGTCCCCTTCGTGTGTTCCCTTCATTTAACACTGAATAGCAGTAATATATGCCTCTATATTTCATATGGAATGATGCATTCAAGCAGTTCACTCACATTCCTTTTACTTTGTACTGATTATTCCAGGAGTTTGTGCAAATTTATTGCTGTGAGAAGCTATTCCTATCTGTAGTAAGTTAAAAAAATACATTTCTGTTACTAGACTATAGAAGACTATTGGTTTATCCATTTGTCTAATAAAGAATGGAATACCATTAATTGTTGTCTAATCCAGCAACAATTTAAGCCGTGCACAACATTACATACCTGAGTACTCCTGTGGATCAGTCATATTTGTCAAAGGAAATCTGCATAAATTTTCATGCAGTTGTGACCTAAAGATCAGTATGCATCTATCATTCTATTTTAATCTGTGTTCTCACAAACCAAAGAAATGTCTTGCTCATATTGGTTGTTGTGTAATTATTATTTTAACAACAGTCATTTCAACCACAATGTTTGATTTGTCCATCCTGATATTTAAACTTCAAGACATTGCTATCTGTAAAAACTCATATTTCACTGTTTGTTTCATTTGAAATTGTTAATTGTTTGTGTGTTTCATACATAGAATTAGAAATACAAAAATACAAGTGGATCAAAATGTCAAGCGTTCTTTTTCAAAAGTTATTTTTAAGTAGACACTCCCTTTCCAATTATAATAAAGTGCAGTTTTCCTTTAAAATAGTTTTGATGGAAAAATTTCAATGCACTTTGAAGGCTACATGACAATAACACAAGCAGTGCTACATCACTGATTAGGAACATGTTAAATTAAAAACTGTCATATTAATTAATCTGATTTAATAAATCTGTAACTGTTACAAGCAATCATTTACATTTATTGCACATAGGGTAGTGCATGTGCATTAAGCAGAGCAAACACATTTTTTGTAGTTTCATTTTGGTCAGGTGCATGAGTAATTTTCAGAGGGGGGAAGATTATGTACCAACCTTTTGTGTCTCCAGCTTCACAAGTCTTAAACACCGTCTGTGAAATTGCAGAGAGGTATTCATGAGACAGAGGCTGCAAGCCACAGGACTCCTCTGGACGAATAAGAGAACCACAGTCCTGAATTAAAATGAAATGAGTGAAAATGACAGCCCTGCACCCATGCCTTTGAAATCCTCTTCAAGGACACGTAAAGAGGAAATAATATTTTTGGGGTTGGTTCTGCAGTTCATTTATCCTTTGCTCTTCAATATATTTTTAATAAGAAATTTAAAATCCTTTTTCCATTCAAATACATGGTGATTTGTAATAAATTATCCAAATCCACAGTCAACACAGAAGATATTACATTTGCCAAAGATATAAGAAAATTTATTAAGGTAAATATATATAATATCCCTATAATGTCATGTTGCCTCTACTTATCATATAATCTCTTCTTATTCACACTTAGTAATTTTGTATGTGTTTCTAGAGCTGTATGGAACATATTTCTGTGATAAAATACTCCAAATTAGCTTCAGGAGATACAGGTACATAAAGAAAGAGAGATTGAGAAAAAGAGAAGGAAACAAGAAAAATTTCAAAGGAAAAATGTTTGAGCTAATACAGGGATTAGGAAAACTTATTCAGAGTACTGAAGGAAAGGATCAAATACAATCTAAATACAATATAATATTTATATAATATAAATATAATCTTATGACTGGGTCTTCACATAAGATATATTCCATAGTAAACTTCAGACACTACCATCACAGCAACATAAATAATGGTCATATTTATGCCAAAATATATACCATTTAATTAATTTTCTTTACAGAAAAGGATTTGACTTTTTTTCGATGTTCTAATTACAGAAAAGTTCACTAAAACCCACAATTAACATAAAAATATTTTGTCTATGGTTATGTTTGCATACAGGAATATGGATTGGTTGTTGAATCAATGGAGTTTATTAAAGAACTAGAGCCTGCTAATGGCATTTATATTTCATTAAGGAGCACAGCTTCCCACAATTTGATCATTTCTGCTATATTTTAAAGACATTAGATGAAATGTAAAATATAAAATGATTAATGCAAGGTGCCTAGAAATTGGAAGTAAAATTTTGGCATACTAATCATTTTAACATTAACTTTCCTAAAATTTGCAAGTGAAAATTGCTACTGGCTTTTATAAAATTTGAATATTATTCTGTCTGGAAGGCATTCTGAAGGTCAGATTCTGTGTGGTACCTCCAGGTCCCAGCAATTTCAAAGGAAATGTTCATGTAATTAGGTGATTCCTGATCACAGTAAGTCTTAGCACATGTGGGTTTTTACCCTTTAAGTAACGGAGTATATCATCTTTGTGCCTTACGGCTATAACATTCAAATATCCCCTGACTTGATATAAATTACATCACAGTATTTCTGACTTGGGGGAATTCTTTAGATAACTTTAGACATCTACCGTATATATGGCTCAAAGAGCTGCTCATTCTAGGTTTCCTCTATAATTTCTGCAGAGAAATAGGCATTCCTTGGACACATTTTTGATCTGTTTTAGATGTCTACTTTAGGATAAAATGAATCACATTCTGAAAGTGTCTTTCTCCACTGACTGTAAAAAGAGTCTAGAATGATTCAGAGGTTTATGTCTGCATTAGTTCAGACAAACCTCACCTCAAATTTCTTTGCAAAAATCTTCCTCCATACACTACTTCCTGACCTGGTGCTAATGTCAGCTGTTACTTCAGAAGACAGGAGCTTTCTAGGGTTACCATTAGTTTAAAGCACAGCATTCAACATCTCACATTTCCTTTTTTCACCCTCACTTCCATGCCAAGCTCAACATAACACAAAATCAACATAACACAATGGATTTTTTTCACTAAAATGGAAAAACTGTAAAAGGCACTTAAAAATAGCAAAGAAAATTTGATGACAAAGGAGGATGACAAAGGATGAAAATCGAACTATGGCAAATGGTGTTTAATGTGCTTGTATTTTCAAATACTGTATGAAAAAATGCAGATGAGGCCCTTTCTGCTTAAACTAAATAGTAGTCATGGTAGCTTTCAATAATTCAAAACTTGCTTTTTTTAAAAAAATTGCATGCTTACTACTTTTAATTGCATCCAAATAAACTATACAAATGGAAACATACTTTCAGAGTTTTTCATTTCAAGAAAGAGTATTCTTGAAACTGAAAGGAGGAATAAAAAGCAATTCCTCCAAAAAAACCCACCTAATCTTATTGGTCTTATCTTCACTTAAGTATGCCAATTTCTAGTCAGTTCTTTTTATTTTCTTAAGTGATATCATTAATTAGGCAACTGCTGTGTTTCAGTTGGAACAATGAGCAAATGATAATTATTCACTAATATTGTCAATGTGAAATTTGACAGTCAATAGGATTTGTGCCGTTGATATAGGGGGAGATATGAATCCATTCTGAAATTCAGTAAATACTGGTGTGTCTTGATTTTCTAATCAAAAAACAAGATGACATTTTTCTCATACTTAATCTAATCTCATTTAATTCCATGGTAAAAAAAAAGAGTCAAAAAATCCTCCCATTGACTTCAAAAAGTTTAGGTCATCTTTGTGCACAAAAACTCAGAGAAATGTTAGATATCTGTGGGCTCTTTTGTAGGATTGTCCTGTTCTCTGCCTCATTCCATAAGTAGAGAAAGCTGATACGACAAAATGAATGGCACAATTTCTTCTAGTGTCAAACTGTGATGTTGTCTTGGAGCCTCTGGGTCTGGACACACTGTACAGCTATTTGACAGTATTACTTAAACTAACATTAACATCAGAAAGCTCCTACCTTGCAATAAAACAATTTGCACAGGGCTTCACAAGAAAGTCCCAAATTCCTGAATAAGCTGTCATTGCTCTCAACAAAGTGTCATAAAATAACTTAACAGGGATTTTCTTGTTCATACCTCTGCACAGGGTATGTGTTTAAACAAATAAAAAAAAATTCTGCAATTCTAATTGCATTCCTTAGACAATATCACTAACAGCAGTTTTGCCTGATTAATTTATTACTCGTCACAATCGATTTGCAGTCCAGACTATGTCACCTATTCCCATTGACTTACACGTGTTTTCAAAGTATGCAGGCCATGAATATCAAAGGACGCTACCTGTGTTTAATTCATAATTGCCATCTAAAATTATACGGTCATGAGAGATTGTGAATACCTGAATGAGCCGTGTTTGTTTCATCTTTTGTGGGAGATCAATCTTTTATCATCATCGCTATATTTATTATAATGTACAAATGAAACCGTGGCAGTTGTAGATTAACTGCAGCTCCACTGTTGTACAGTTCTTTAAGGGCTTTACTAACTACTTGCAGATTTGTTAAGTTTTCTTCAGGTGCTGCAGCGACATGACATCCTTCTTGCCTTACCCAAAGATGAAACATCTTGTGATCTTAAGTATGTTTACAAATGATCATTCATAGCAAAGATGAGAGCCAGACATGTAAACTTAAATGATAGTTCTTCCTCTATGTCTGTTCTCCCTGCAAACCTTCATTTTTAGAAGGTAGACATAAAAAGATCCTTGAAATGTCTGGACTAAAATCAGAAGAAAAATTCCTATGCAGTTAGAACTGACTGTTCATAAGCCTGATTTGTCATTTTAATAGTACTTTCTTTTATCTTCACAGAAGCTTTTTTGGACACTAGCAAATAAAACAGGAATAAAGCTTTCCTGGACAGCTTTCAGTCAACGTCAGTTGATACTTAGAGAGTGAACCTTTCTGAAGTCCATCTGCTGTGTGAAAAGAGAATTGTTTCTATTCAAATCACACTATAGTGTATTTGATTCTTCATAACGGGAATGAATTTTATTCTTTATAAAGAGATCACACAGTTTTTTGAGCATGCTACTCTACAGCTTTCACAAATTATTATTTTGGAGGTATCAATGCATGTTTTATTTCATTTACTTATAGACTAGGTGCCTGATTTAATAAGAATTTTGTTTAATTCAGCTTTCAACAACCATTCAGTACTTCCTCTCAATTATATACATAATACATATTTTCACTCACATGTGTATAAATATAAAAAAATTCTACCAGTCTTAACTCTTACAGATGTGCGTGCATTTGCATGCTTAGAGGCATGTGCGTGTGTGTGTGTGTGTGAGAGAGAGAGAGAGAGAGAGAAGTCAAAGCCTTATAAAGATGACCTACAGTCATGTAGTTAATATCATGGCATGAATACCATAGCTAAATGCTATTGTAGTTGCAACTGCACCTTAGATTTAAAGAACTATTTGCATTTCAGGCTTAGCTGTTACTGGATCTGTACTTGCTGTTGTACCTTTTTACCACCTTGGCCATAATGAAAGAATGATTACTCTCAAATCACAGTAATTATGTACAGATTAACCTCAAAAGCTTCCTCCAAACTGGAAGAAGATAGAAAAGGTGAGAAAGGAAGAAGTCTACGATTTTCCTGGGAAAAGTCATACAAAATTCTTCTGTATTCTTTTGAAGTGTCAGTGCTCCAGCAGAGTGGCAGTGCGCCACATGAAGAAAATGAAGTTACTTTTAACATCCACAGCTGTAAGCTGACTTTTAAAATAGGCAAGTAGGATTTTCAGAACTTTTCTGAAATAATCCAACTCTGTCCCCACAAAGCTGTTTCTAAAACTATTGTTTTCGGTGGAAGCAGACTTTTGTCAACAAATTGAACGCTTAGGAAATTCCTACCCAGTATGTCTATAGCTAGGACCTGCACTCAGCTTTCTCAGTAAGAGTCCTTTTTGCATTTGTGTTAAAACTCCTAGCGCTCAATGGGAATGGTGGGCTCAATGCTTTGAACAACAGATCATTTCTGCTGAGGTACTCATGTCAGAGAATGCACCCAACACAAAGTACTGAAAACAAATAAACAATCAGCATATCAGAACTTTTAAACTAAACAATAACAAAAATATGACTAAGCTCATGGGAATTCATTTTAGCCTTACGTACTAGCAACACATAGACAAAATCCTTCATGCTTTTAACATCCTAAACCCAAGCATATCTGGGAATTAGAGGATGAGAAAAATCTCATTCCGTAGTTCTTGGCAGAGATCTGGGGAGGCCTTTGCACCCATCCTGCT